TTCATAACACCCATGACTGACATTCCTAATTAATACTATTGTTTTTCTCCTCTGGCTGAATTTCCTGAATGCCAACATGCATAGCATGCACTAAAAACAGACATTAAAGAAAATAACATCAATGTTAATCTCTAGCACAAATATATCAAATGCCTCAGTGAAGTGTATAGAGTAGGGATGCATTCCTATAAATAATGGATCATTGCAGCCTGATAATCTTTATCCTCCTACGCTAATAAGATGATAATCTTTCTCCTCCTGTGTCCTTGCTTTTAAATTTCAGTGCTGCATTGGCTAGAGTGCATCTCTAGCTCTTTGGTTGTCTCCCTTTTAAATGCATAAAAAAAAGCATCTTCTGAAAGAGGAATTTTAAAAAGGTACCATGGAACGCAATGCAAAATGTTCTGCTAAGAATTGGTTCTGATTAATTCTGACAATAATTGTCTTATTTTCTTCTCTGTACTTTTCATATGACTCTGAGAAAGGACAGATTCATACAGTTAAGTACTTGGATCATGATGGTTCACTTAGAAATCAACTTGTTCAAACTCTGGCCCAGGATTCAGGATGGAAACCATCATCACAGCGGGTTCTTTGGTCTCAATGTTGCAAAGCATTTAAACCTGGTGAAATCCATCCCTACTCGGCAAGGCACTTACACACACATGCTTAGCTTTAAACACATGGCAAGAGTGAAGTATGTGCTTTGCTGAATAGGAACAGACTGATAAATCAGGACCCCTTTCTTGCCCCCACTCAGTACACACACATCCCATTATAACATTAAAACCCATCAAACATTGAATCTGTGCCACTATTTCAGCTCTCTCTCCTCATGTATTTCAAGCATTCTGGTCACTCACAGATTTCTCTGAGTGTTTTCCTCTTTTCATTTTCCCCACTAAACCCTGAGTTGGAAGACCAAAACTCCATGCAAATTATTAGCCTCTTTTGGCTTTAACACTATCTGTAGCAAACAGTGCAAAGAATTGGGAAGAGGCTACGAGCCACAAGCTAGATGGTGTCTCATGTGGGAGGAAGGTTTTTTTCAGAGAAAGTTCTCTACGAATCCTGTCTGGTCCTATGCTCGATTCTTAAAGAAACTGACATTGTTTGAACATTTTTCTTGTAGAACTTTGACAGGTTTGAACATACGGCAATTATGATGGAGAGTATCTGATTCCTCTCACCTTGTGATGTTTTCTGCACTTCTGTTTCTTTTGTGACCTTGCCATTACCACAGCCCCTGTCTGAAGATTCCTCTGCAAAACTCAGCGGAGCTGACATGAACCTCTCTCCTTTCCTCTTCTTTTTGGACACAGTAACAACTATGGCAGATATACTTTGGGTCATCTGAAGCAGCAGAAGTGATGCTGGGCCCAGGAATGTATAGGTTCTTAGGAAGATGGTTGAAAAAAATTATAGTTCACAATAGTTCAGCACTGAGGTGTGTGACAGAGAGAAGGACTCAGAGGCACTGAAATCCCAAATTGCAACAAAATTACAATTGCAAATCATAGTAACAAGGCTGGTTTTTATACCTTCAAAAGAAACCCTGTGAATTAAACTATAATCAGAAATAGCTGCTGCTTCTCTGCCCTTCCAACCCTTCATCTGTCTCCCTTTTCTCTTTTTCTTCTCTTCTCCTTTCTCTTTTCAACTCTCCTCACTTTTTATAAAAACCCATTTTTTTAGTTTATCCAAAGGGCAGCCAAGTTTTGGCACTAATTCATTCATCTTTCTTCCAGCTGTGCTTGCTTGTTGTTTCTGTGGTGTAAGATAATAGAATTTTACCATGGAAAAGATACCCTACAGAATGATGCGGAATTTTCACTGCATTTTAGATTGCACATGAGAACAGTTGACAAAACTGAGAGAAGTTGGATTCAGTGAAATAAGGGATGACTTCAGAAAACTGAACACTGCAGTGAAGACTTGGGCAATGCAGATATGGAACTTCAAGAACATTCTTCACTGCCAGGAGAAGGCAACTGATTGGAAGAACTGTTGAAAGGGATATGTGGGTGGAGAGAAGACTTGAAAATTCACTGAGCACTGGGGTACTTTTTCTGACAAAGACGACTGGATTAGAATGAGCTCCAGTTAAAATCATTCCAATCTAGTGTTAGCACACTTAATAGAATGGAACAAAATACAGGACTATGCAGCACTTTAAAGACTAACAAGAAAGTGCTACATAGTCCTGTATTTTGTTTCAGCTACACCAGACTAACACGGCTACATTTCTATCACTATTCTTAATAGAATGGGAGTATCTAAAGAGATTTCACTTAAATAATCTGGCATCCATTTCCAACATACAAACTGAAACAGGGTGAAGGAGTAGTTTCACAACAGGAGAAATTAAAAGAAAATAAATGTTTGCCCACCAAAAGGTCAGTAAGGCTACATCTACACTGCACGTTTATTTCAAAATAAGCAGTTCCGGAATCATTATTCCAAAATAGCTTATTTTGAAATAGCACGTCTATACTGCTGGGAAGCCAGAAAATTAGTCCAAAACCAGCTTTCCTAATGTAGATGTGCAACCTCGATTTACAGCCCCAGGAGTCACTGTGAAGGAATAACTGAGAATGGCCCTGGTGAGGGGTTATTTTGAAATAGCAGCAGTAGAGCATCACACACCTTATTTCAAAATAGCTATTTCAAAATAGGTATTATTCCTCATAGAATGATATTTACAGATTTCAGAATAAGCCACCCGTTATTTAAAAATTATTTCAAAATAATGGAATGGCTGTTTAGACACTCACATTGTTATTTCAAAATAACGCTAGATATCCTGAAATCACGGTGCAGTGTACACGCACCATAAGAGATAAGAAGAGTTTAATATCAGAAATGTCTAGAAGATGTCCATGAAAATGTCCTGAGAGAGATAATGGACAGTCTTAGGGTATGTCTACACTGCAACACTATTTCAAAATAACAAGTGCTATTCCGAAATAACTTAGTCTGCGTCTACACATCAGGCAGTTATTTCGAAATAGTGTCAAAATACTGTGAAGCTGGAGGACTGCTTACTCTGACTCCTGTAACCCTCATTGTACGAGGAATAAGGGAAGTCGGAAGAAGAGTGCTCTATTTCAAAATAAGTGCTGTGCTCCCTATTTCGAAATAAGCTAATTGACATAGCTCAATTTGCATACCTCATTTCGAGTTAAGCCCTCTTGTGTAGACACACCCTTAGATATGAAGTTTGCTACACAATAAGACTTCCACAAAGGGCAATGCAATTTTGAGCTGTAGAAACACAGAAATTACAGTGCAAAGAAGAGCTCACTTAGAAAAAACACTAAGCTCCTCTTGCTGTGTTGTTGCCCACATCCTTATCTCTATGCATGGGCATGAATTTGTAGTGAGCCCAGCAAATTGACTACAAGGCTGATCTGTTTGCCTAAGACATTCTGTAATAGTGATGGCTGCACAACATCTTTTTCTCCAGGAAACAACAACCAAAGCCACCTGAGAAATTAGCAACAAAAATAAGTAAGACTTGGACAAACTAGTTATTTGAGATGAATATTGTATTTAATTGTAAGGATGCAACTCAGATACCATGCTGAGAGGGACATTAAAAATGTGGAATACAGATTATCCTATTCTTCTCTGTTTTAAAATGTTAATACAAAACTGTAGGAAAACCCTCTAACTTTTAATGTGCAATGTCATTCCAAAAATGCAGTTCAATTACTTACAGTTCTTCAGCGGACACATATTGAATTTAGTATTTGTATTAAAAACCCATCAGTTCCACTGAGGCATTTTCAGGGGGCCGCTTTGCTAAGCTCTAACTAAATGCTGTACTTGCTTACCCACTGCACTTTGCACAGCGTTTTCAGATCACTTATTACACTGCTTCTCCCATTTCGACATGCTTGTGGCAATTCAATTTCCATTTGACTGTGCTACAGCTGCAGCAATATGTGCAATCAGCTTGGTATCTCTTCTGCTATATTTTATCCCTCGTAATATGATCTCTCTCAATACGCCCTGTTCATCTCAGTCTTGTTCACCCTTGTTGACTCCGTCTATTTCTCAAAAGAAAATTCATGACACAAATTACAGAGCTGTTTGCTTTATCAGTTTAGCTTCAAATTAGTTATTTTAAGAATCTTCTCTCTGCTGTGTACATAAAAAATAATGAACCATGGTAAAAAGTGTATATATTATTTCCAAACATGGGAAAGCACTGCAATAAATCTGAGTTTTCTACACAGTGTGATAGAACAACTCAAGCTAATACTGAGAGAGATTTAACAAGTCCTTCTACCCCCAAAAAAGAATCCATTGTAGAAGTAGGCATTCTGGATAAATATACTTTTCAAATGTGGGAACCATGATTTCATATTTTTTTAGGTCTAATGTTCTCATTTGAGTGTCATTTGTGATAATACAGGCTGATAGTCAGATCTGAAATGTCATCATATTCAATAACGATTACTGCAGAATGATCAGTATGGTGTGACTATTAAACACAGTCTGTTTTCATAATAACTATACTTTATTGAAAATCTGGCCTTCTAATGAATTATTCACTTAATATGATTTGTCTGAAAGTAGCATTTTCGGGAAAACACACGGACAGACAATTATGTTTAGACCTTGTCTATACTTACTGGGACATTGATGCTGAGAGGAATCAATCTCCTGATGACTGATTTTGTGGGTCTAGTAAAGACCCACAAAATTGACCACTGAGCATGCTCTCATCAACTCTGGTACTCCAACGAATCAAGAAGAGTAAGGGGAACTGATGGGAGAGTTTCTCCCATTGACCCCTGTAGTGAGGACACCACAGTAACTTGACCATTCACATAGCTGGAGTTGCATACTGATTGTAGACCTGGCCTTAGAGGGTTTATGCCTGCAGTGCCAAACTGCTATTGAAAATTGTGCTATCCCCAATTATTATCACAAGTATAGTAAGACCAGGGGTCTCTTTCACAGTGGGTAATTTTCAGTCCAACAGGAGATCTTCCCCATTCAGTCTTCTGACTGCACAATGATCCAGCAGAAATGCAGGTCAGAAATTCATCACCACACAAATTGAGAGGCATGATCTGGCTATCACCTCCTACATTTCACGTGATGTCCTAGAGAAATCAAAGTTACAGGAAGTCACTAATGGTGGTTCTACTAGTAGATAACAGTTTGCCTTCACACTAAGATTGACCATGCGTTTTTGTTGTTGTTGCTGGTTTTGTTTTTATGGATTTGATCTTGAGAATTGTTATCAATTCATAATTCCTATTGACTTCAATTTGGCCTGCAGCTCCTCAGCAGTTCTCAGAGCCATAGCCTGTACTGCATATAAAAATTAAGGAATAAGTGAGTCAAGATTAACATAGCTCCTACCAACTTAACCAGAAGAAGGCGTCAGCTAACCAGGCCAATCCCATTGAGCAAGAGGAGTCTATGTTTTTAAGTTTTGGCTACAGAAAGGAAGATGACTTTGGAATAGGATTTGTGGATGTCTGTCATCTTTGAAAATGAGACCATTTTTAGTAAGAGGCCGAAATGTAGATTTAAGAGCTTAACATTCAGCTACTAGGGCTGCAAATTTTGTCCTACCATTTTTCTCATCTTTTAAATAACAAATAGCAAAGATAAAGAGGTTTTTTTAATTGCATTTAGGACTGTTTCAACTCTGAGCACAAAAATTAACCCTTTTCTTGTGCAGTCCAGTAAATAATCACAAATAGTTGTTATCTATTCACTTTACTAATGGGATCATGTCCATTTGGGAAAAACACTGCAAATGATTATAACATACAATTTGTCACCTCTCCTCCTCATCTATTCTCAGCCTGTTTTCTTTTTTTTTAATCCTTCTCCCTCTGACTGCCAGCTGCTGTTACAAATGCCATTTTCTGCCAGATGTGTTCATAAAGGGCTCCATTAGCATTAATGCGCCGATGAGACAGCAGCACAGGTGACTGTATGAATCCAAAATCTGGAAATGTATAAGAGACCTAATGAGATATGATTACTTAGGAATAATAGACTTTTTCCATAAAACTTTTTGCAAGTGATCATTTTGTTCTGTCTGATTCCTTCTAAATGAAGTAAAAAGACAGACCAGATAACCACTATGCAAACTGACAAGGTTTTAGAATATGATAATTAGAAATCTAGAGCCCGATCTTGCAGCAAAATGAGGGTTTCTGAGCAGGATATGTATACTTACTGGGTTTCTTACACACAATCGGCATTTGCTTAGACAGTAGTTGTTCAAGACATAAACAGTGCATTATCACATATGGAGAACTCATATGTAGAGAGATTAAATAACTAGCCCTAGGTCACATCATGATCCACAGTAGCAGAACCACTAAGATCCACTTCAGTGCCATAACCATAAGACCTTTCTCTCTACTTTAGTCAAGGCAGACCTAATTTTTAGCTGTGTAAAATTCCACTGTGTATTTTCTCAGCATCTTTTGCCTTTCCATGAGCGTTTCACAAAATATGATCTCTGGGTAGACCAGGAGCAGGAGAGTCGGAGCATGGGAAGTCCTAAGACTTTCAGAGCATGGGATACTCTCTCTCTCTCTCTCTCTCTCTCTCTCTCTCTCTCTCATGAGAACAGAACCTCTGCAGTAGATGGCAATGGCAGTGAACGGTTATTTTGTCTGAGTGGGAGCACAGGATCCAAGCAGTCTTGTCCCTTCCTTTGCTATATGGGAAGAGAAGAGATGGCACAACATGTCAGCACTAGTGTCAGTCTCTTCCTATTAATCCAGGATTTAGGGGCTAGTGTGTGCATAGTCGTGGTGACCCTTTTGGTCACTGCACTGTGGACTGAACTGTGGATCTTCAAATCTAAAAGCAGGAGCTGCTACGATTAGCTGCCTAGCTCATGCTATTACAGATTCATATGCTCTGCAGATCAATTACAAAGGGGATCGGTAATACTCACCAGCAGGTTACATTTTCTTGATCCTCCTAAATCAGCTCCTAATGTCCATGGCACTTCTGCTCCAGTCCCACTGCAGCTGAATTGCTCTTCTCACCAGGGCTACTTTCTGCTGCATCCATTAGGAGCCCTTTCTCCCTGCTATGACATCTTACAGCGAACTTGCTCAGAGATCCCAAGTGACTCCCAAGAGTACACCTTCCCTTCCAACACTCACAAAGACAGACTATATAAGATTTCACCGCACTGTTGTATTAATCCATCTTAACACACAGCATATACCATTGATTAGAGCCTCATTCCATTCATTTATATCTAATTTAGTTCATTTGATGCCTATTTCACACACTATTTATCTTATTAAGTCGATTTTTGAAACATTTCCTTATAAACAAAGTCACTGGTGAAAACTCAGTGATATAGGAATAACTTTGACTTAACACTCTCGTGTGTAAGGTTGTGTTCCTAAAAATAAGGGCATTCGACAGGTACAGCAACCCCTGTTAATCAGGTACCATTTTTGAATAGGTACTAGAGCAAGGTCTCTTACATATTTCAATAGTATCCTTTAGTTAGAATGTGAGGCTTGGTATAAGTTATATCCACATCGTTTTGCTCATGTGCCACAAACCTGAATTGTGACACTTCTTCTGACCAGCTCTTGGGCCTCTTATGAGGTAATATTGCCAACTTGTACTAACTTACTGTAGTGGCTTGTTATCTGAATAAATGAAGAGTGGGAAGAATCCATCAAATATCCCAGTTCAAATGTGTGCTGAGGACTCCAGAGAGTGAAAGACAGAAAGAAACATTCGTTTCAATGGCACTTTTCATCTCAGATCCACAAATGTTTTGCAGCCCTTTCTCAGACGCATGGTTCTTATTAAAATCAATACAAATTTTGCCTGTATACGCTGGATATGTCTCTACACCTTTGCCAATAGTGAAAAGGCCCTTCGGATTCACATATGATTGTTAAGCATTTTCTGGTAACTTATTCCTACACGAGAGCTCAGAGGCAGCACCTGGTTTTCATGAAGCTTTTTAACACTTAAAATAAAAGCAACATCCACCTCCATTAGCAAAAGACTGAGAAATTTTAATTTTGTATTAAATCGTGTGTTCAAGTATAATGTTTTGCTTCTGTAGTACCATTCAACTAGTAAGTGCAGAGTGCTTTGGAAGCATTAATGGATCAAGGCGCAAAACACTTTTATAAAGTAGCTGTTATCCTGATTTCCTACACGGGGAAACTGAGGCACAGAGGTTAGTGGCTTGCTGCAGATTTCACAAGAGAACCAGTTCTAAAATGTGTGGAGATCGTGGACTTTATTCAGGTTGGAAGGGGGATGCCCCCAACGTCCATGATCTCCACACTAGACAGGGGAACACGGCCGTCTATGGCAGGATAGCTGCCAGCCTGGCCACCAAAGGCCACATGCAAACGCAGGAGCAGGTTAGCATGAAAGTCAAGTTGGTCTGGTGAGACCCCCCCCCCCAGAGCTCTGAGCTTCCCCTCCCCCTTCTTCCCCTTGCTTCCCCCTTCCAGCTCCTTCCTCCCATGTTTCCCCCTCCCCTCTTCCAACCTCCCTCCTGCCCTCTCCCACCTCCTTTCCCCCGTTTCCCCACAGTTTCATTCCCCCTCCCCAGTTGTGTTGAATAAAGAGAATTGTTATTTTTGAAAATACCTGTCTTTTATTTGACATCAGGAAGGGAAGTGGAAGGAGGAGAGGGAGGAATGGGGCACAAGCCCCCAGTGGGGCAGACCAGGGAGACTGTTAGCACTCCTCAGGGTTGAAGCTCTCCCACAGGCCCCCTGGATCCTCACAGCTCCTCGATGGCCCCCGGATGGCATCCTGCAGCAAGTGCAGCCAGGCTGATGGCAACAACCCCACGAGATACACTGGCATGCCCAGGGGCAGTTCTGGCTCCCTGTGGCCGAGTGCTGTGGTGTCCCAATTTCGGGCACTCAGGGCACTCCAAGACAGGACTGCTTTGCGGTTCCTCATTGAGGTAGACAAGCAAGCAGGGAACCCTGAGAAATGTCTGTCCGGGGTGGGTGTAGGGTCCCTTTAAGCAAGGAGCTCAGTTAGCCTCAGGCAGCAGCCCCACACACTAAATCCTAACCTGCTGCTGCTGCCGGCACTAGTTCTGGCCAGCCTTAACTTCAGTTCAGGGTCTACTCAGTGTGGACATGCTATTTTGAAATAGCAAAACACTATTTCAAAATAGTTTTTGTGTACAGCTGCGCTATTTCTAATTAGCTTAATTTAAATTAACTATTTCAAATTACGTTAATTCGAAATAGCACTGTAGTGTAGACATACCCTCCTTTGGAAATACTTGCTATGCATTTGTTTATCCGGGGATGGAGTGGTGATAGTGGTCTTCAAAACAATGTGTATGCTCACTGTACTGATAATATTCAGTGGCTAACATCTTGTTCTCCAAAAATCTTAGCTGTCACTATAAATAAAGGAAGTGTCCAGGTGTTATTGTTATGAAGAAAACCCTAAATATGTGACCAGAATGCAAGCAATACTTTCCATATGGCCTTAATTTCATTAGGAAATATGAGGTATGCTCCTGAGATAGCTAACATAAGGTAAAATCCTAGTGAAGACAAGATTATTTTTAGTTTTTTCCACACGTGTTAGCTGGTCTACTTAAAGACCATGGTGTAGCCTATGGTTTATCTTGGGTTAATTATCTTGTATTAGCTAACATGCTTTTTGAGAGAAACTGGAAAAATAGCTGTCAGGTATATAAGGCTTTCTCATTCATTTCCTCTAAGGCTATGTCTAGACTACAAGTTTTTTGTTTTTTTTTTAAAGTGACCTTTTTTCAAAAAAACTTCACATGCGGCTAGACTGCCCGCCGCGTTCTTTTGAAATTAAATCGAAAGAACACGGAGGTTTTTCTGACAGTGGTAAACCTCATTTTACGAGGAAGAACACCTTTTTCAAAATAACTCTTTCGAAAAAAGGCATTCTTGACTGCAAATGGCTTTTTCAAAAGAGAGCATCCAGATTGCCTGGGTGCTCTCTTTCAAAAAAGTGAATAGCTTTTTCGAAAAAGCTGTGGCTGTCTTGATGATCTCTTTTTTTAAAAAGAAGCGTGTAGTCTAGATGTTAACCCAGATGCCCAGGAATAGTAACATTGATGGGCTAGGTCTTTCTCTGGTGCCACATGTGGATGATGTTTGAAGATACCATCACTCCCCCACCCCAAATAAAGAAATGCCAAGCCTAAGAAGTCCAGCAGAGCCCATGACCATACTGCAGCTCCACTAACAGGAGTCAAGCTTAGGGAGCCAACGAAACTCAGTGGTCACATCATAAACATGTATACCATCTAGGTGGAGTGGCTTCTCATTTTGGGGACTGACATGGACAGAGCGTATTTTGTGGGTGGAATTTGGGGAGAGGGGAGCTGGTGGTATTCTCCTAATCTCAAAAGGCATTCTCATTAGAATTTATTCCCCATTCCATGTGCATGTTACAAAGACCCTTCCGCGCATGTTACAAACTAACACTCTTTAAGGAGTCGCGTGTACTGGTCATGATCTTAGTTTTGCTGTTACGAGGAGGTTTTAGAAATGTCATTGGGTCATCTTGAATGATTCACTTATGTGGGTTTTTTAGATGAAAGTGTCCATATGCTTGGAAATAAGTGCAGGTGAAATGTTGCATCTGAAATATATTAACGAAGGGACTTAATAGGTTACACTATGTTTAGTAAATGAAAATATACTGAAAACATATTACTGATTAAATAATTAAGCTCCAGATTAGACAACACTTCATGAACATCTATGTTACAAGATTCGTTTTCGTTGTGCACTGCATCGGTATAGAACTAGCACACGGTACTATACATCTAATTTAATTTTCTGAAGAGTTATCTCAGATGTAACATTTAAAGCATACTTCCCCTTCTTTACACCTCCACTAAAGGAATCTTACTAGCGTGTGCAAACACTGTAAACTGCATTAGCATTATGTTTTCATTGTTCAATTGTTCTGGCACGTTCTACTTACATTCTGTTTCTGAAGGTAAGATGGCTGAGTATGATTAATCAGAAGCTATTTGTTACAGTAGCCAATGGAAGGAACAGTGCTAAGCATTTTTCAAAAATGAATAATATCCCAGGTAGCTGGCACCTGCATGTGAAGTGAAGCATTACAAACAAATGAGGAGTAATAGAGCTTACCGTGCATAAAATGTTATTGTTTTATTAAAAAAGTGCAGAATAAGCAAGCTTGAAGTAATCACCCTGAGCACTTCAACCAACAAAATAACCTTTAAACTTCCTAAAGTCCTACAGGGGAACATGATTGATTAACTTCCACAGGAGTTATAAAGAAAAATGAGATTTATATATAGTTCGAAAATCTATTAGGATTTTATTATTATCCTGATTTTGTAAACTTAGTATAGTGTTGTCTCACCTGTTACTCTAACAAGAAGATTGAGTTAATTATTTTAATGGGATCTTGTAAATATGTTTTTCTGACTTTGTCACTACTCAAAGAAATATTTTTCTGGGATTTAGGGATTTGCCAAATTTATGTCCAGGGACTTCCTTGTATTTTTATATGCCAAATAGCTGTGTCCTTAAAGTAGCTACATAAATTGCCTTACAATATCCATCTTGTGAACAGCCTTAGGGTTCATAAGGTTCTCTGTTTGGAATCTGAAATACTTGGCATAAATTGGGACTTCTTAAAGGAAGTGGAGCCTGATCGCTATTAGATTAACCAGTTCTCCTCTTTTGAATGAACTTGTGTGAATGACTATAAATTCTAGCATACATGCATAGCTTCTGAGTCAAGTGCTAACACTAGTATTGCAGAATATTGTGGTCTCAAAATGACATGTATTTTTGTAGTCTGAATTTTAGACCCCTTCTTTAATTTAATAGCTGAAAATTAATTATGGGTTTGTACATCCAGGAAAAAAAATCAATATGAATTGCTTTCTGTGATCCATTAGGGAGCAGTAAAATAACCTTACACAACACTTGATTGTTTTAAACAATGAAACAAACTTGTCCAAATATTTGTCTAATTTCCACCATCTGGAAAGGAATTTTAAGACAAAAGTACTGTGGCATTAGTGCATAAGCAGAAGAGGACAACCAGTCTGGTACGATGTTAGTCACTCCCAGAGTGAAAAATAGGAAAGCTGTCACATCATGTTAAGTAGTTTGTGGATTATCTTCACCATCCATTTCAGCGGAATGGTTAATCTATGTTAATATACATGGGTATGCCTACACTACCCTCCTAATTCGAAATAGGAGGGTAATGTAGGCATACCGCAATTGCAAATGAAGCCCGGGATTTGAATTTCCCGAGCTTCATTTGCATAAAGCCGGCCGGCGCCATTTTTAAATGCCGGCAGTTCGAACCCCGTGCCGCGTGGCTACACGCGGCACGGAGTAGCTAGTTCGGATTAGGCTTCCTAATCCGAACTAGCTGTACTCCTCATTCCACGAGGAGTGTAGACATACCCCATGAGATTAGAGGTGGGGAGTGTCCCAGTAACACCTGACTTTTCCAAGGGATGCATTTGGATTCAGCTGTGAGACCCCTTTCAGCCTATGTCGGTATGTGATTTCAGAAATACAACTGCTACATGGCAGTGAATTTCTCATCAGGCAGGCAAGATTATAATAACCAACTTGTATCATCCATACCTGGTCCA